GCAGGGCGGCCCTCGGCGAGCAGCACAGGCTCCCTCGGGGCGGCGCCGCCTGCCGCACCGCGGCGCTGCAGGCTCCGCCCGGGCGAGCGGCGAGGCCCGGACGGACGTTCTCCGGGAGGCCGCGCCGAGCCAGGCAGGCGCCAGGACGCCCCGCCGGAAGGACGTCACGCCCCGGCCGACACAAAAGCGCCCGGCCGGGCGGCCCGCCGCCTACACCCGCCCCGCCGCCCGCAGGAGACGCTCCCGGCGCGGCCCGCCGCCCCCTCGCAGCCGACGACCCGCGAGGCGGCGCTCGCGTCCGGGACGGCGCCCGGCCGGCCGAGGATGGTCTTGCGCCGGCTGCTGCTCGCCATGCTCAACGACCACAGGCTGCTCGACCGCCTGGCGGAGGCCGCGCCTATCCGCGCTGCTGCGCGCCTCACGGCCTCGGCCCTGGCGCGGGGACTGCGCCTGCGCGACAGCTTCCTGCGCGAGCTGAAGGAGGAGGCGGCGCGCGCCAAGGCCGCTGGCCGGCCCGGTCCACGCACGGGCAAGGACGAGCGGCGGGCGCCCTGAGCGGCCGCGAGCAAAGAAAAGGTGACTCGCCCGGCGAGCAACTGGCCGCCGCCGCCCCTGCGGAACGAGTCCCGCGGCGGCTCCCTGCGGGCGGCCCCGGGGCGGGGGTTCCTCCGCGCGCTGCACCGCGGAGCCGGCCCGGCTGCAAGGCGTGCCGCCCCGGCCCCTCGCGTCGAGCGCCACTCGCTCCCAGCCTGCCGGGGCCTCTCGTGGGGCGGGCGCCGCCGACCGTGAAGAGCCGACCGGAAAAGCCCCCGGAGGAGCCAGGCGAGGGCGCCGCGCCGGCCCGGGCCCCCCGCCGCCGCCGCCTCTCGCTGCCTGCGCGTTGCGCTTGGGCGGGCCGGGGCGGGTGAGCCAGAAGCCCGGCGGGGCCGGGTCGAGTCCCGCGGGCCTGCACGCCTCGCGCGGGGCGGCCGCCCCGGGCCACGCTGCCCCTCGCCTCGGAGCGCGCCCGTGCCGGTGGGGGCGAGAGGCCGGAGCGGAGCCCACTTTCTAGGCAGCGGCAAGCGGGAGCAGCGGGCTCGCCCCTGAAACGCACGTGCTGGGAGGGGAGCTGGCGGCGCGATGCCTCGGTGACCCCCGGTGAGCAAAGGCGGCCTCGGCCCTCGCAGCTTTGGCCCCGGGCTGCGGAGGGGCTGCTGTCGCAGGACCTCCGGGCAGGCGGGGGGTGGCGTCTTCTGCCCTCCCCTCCCTTCTCTGGGAGTCTGATTCTTGCACAGTCTCTCTCTCTCTGATCTGCTGGAAGGTTCTGCATTTTTCTGGACTTTATTCTGAACTGTTACGCAAGCCCTTCAGACGTCCCGCAAGCCGTTCAGTTCCCTCCATCAGTGTGAAAGAAGCCCTGGCATCTCACAAGACACCAGCCCTTTAACTAAGGGATGAAAAGTTGACGAGAGAGAGAGGGGGTTAAGTGAAAATTTTACAGCCTTGGCCTGACTATAGAAAAGGTTTTAATACCAACCATGGAAGCCACACCAACCAGATGCAGGAAAAAAGCCTCCCCCGCAAGGCTTGAGGAATCGGGCGGCCCGTACAGGACAAGAAACGGATCCTGGGTCCAAAAACCCAGGGGATCACCATGATCTGATTGGTCTTTCATGTTTCTATATATATTCTTTGTGACTGTACAGAAATGTTTCCCTTATCAGTACCAAGCTGATCCTCACCGGACCGTCCCATTTTGTTCTGCAAGGAACAAGTGAAGATCTCAAAGTGTTTCAGTCTGTTAAAATGTGTGTTCTTTTGCAGTGCTTAGGCCAGCCTAGAACGCCCATGTAAGGGAGGCCTGGGCAGTTGACTCTTCCCTCTCTTCTGCTAGTAAGTCACTGTAAACTGGGGAGAGGCAACAATTGGGCCACTGCAGGGTTCAGTCCTGGGCCCAGCGCTCTGGTACACAAATGTTTTAAATAAATAATTTTTGCCCAAATGCAGCAGCAAGGATCTTGATCAATGCTCACTTAGGGAACAAGTAACCGCTGGTGTTAATCCATTCCATGTTTATACCTCCCAATCTCCAAAGCTCTCTGGGTGGTTCACAGCAATCTAAAGCATCTGCAAGGGTTCCTGGTTTTTTCACGAAGTCAGGTACCTTTCAGGCCCTCACTAGTTGCAAATTACATAGGGTAGATATTCAGGAAAGGAATCTGAAAATTGAGGCAAAACAGTGGTGGGAAAAATTGAAGTGCTAAACCAGACTGAAAATTATCACCATAATCATCCAACAAAAATTACTAGTCAATTTTTGCAATGAAGACAGACAAAAACAATTCAATTTCTTCATAATCTCCTTTTTTCCTCTAGTACTCCTCAACTCTGTTGTCATTGGGCATGCTCACACATGTTAAACAATGATGCGCAGGGCATGGTTTCTTACCTGGTGTTGTGTGCTACACATTTGTGTGGCTTCCATGCTTCTCTCTCTCCTTGCAAATGGTGGCATGTTTCCCCTTGGCCCTCATGGCTGAAAATCGATCCCAGGGTGCACTGTTTCTGCCTCCCCACCTGCTTCTCCCCATTGGCCGACACGCTCCCTAGGCATGCCCTCATGTGGCGACCTGTTGTGTGCTGGGTTCTGTGCAAGCTCAGCAGAGGTAAGCATGTGCAGTGGACTTAGTTAAAATTTGCACCCTGATCTATTAGAATCCACACTGAGAGGCTTTGTGATAAGAGATGAAAGGACTGGTTTACTTCCAAACAATCCACATAAAACTTGTGTGAAAGAGAGATGTTGGCTTCCTCATGAAGGACACCTTGGCTCATTATTAGCTTGCTTCTCAAAGCAGTGGGCTGGGGTCAAGCGGCTGTGTGGCCATTTTGCCTTTCCAAGTGAGGTGGGAGGAGAAAAGGGAGACTCATTTTGTCCATGACATTAACCCTTTCCTCCCACTCAGGTTAGTGGACAGGACCATGTTACACGTGCCTGACAGCTCAGCCAGCTCCTTTTCTGTTGTGCTGCTGCTGCTCAGCCATATATTGGGTATTACATGAGCAGAGGTGGCTGGAGCTGAGCATCAGACTAGATGGTCTGGGAGGCCCCTTCCGACTCATTGTATTTCTAAGTGCATGACAGGTACTCATATTGTAACTTCAGCTGCTAGTTTCATGGGAAGCATTCCCAGCCCTGCTATGGCAAAGGTAGGTTGTTTTCAGACCACCTATTACAAAGAGAAGAGCTGCAGGATTATATGTGGTCTTTACCAAGGACTCCAGCCAAGGCTTTAGTATTACTTTCCGTTTTTTACTTCAGTGTTGCCTGCTTGCGGCATTGAGTAGATGTCTTCATTTGCAGCAACAAGAAACACATGTCAGGATGGGTAGCCAGGAGTACATGCGACTTTCAAGCTGGAGAAGTGGCGGCCACTCCAAGTAGAGCCTCAAGAGAGGTCAGGACTATGGAACAGGCCAAGTTAACGCTCATCATAATTTCAGCAGATGGGCGAGTTGGTGTTTCACTATCCCTTTCGAAAGACCCTGCCTCAAGCCAAAGTAGGGACCTATGCGAGAAAGCTGCCCATGCAGCAAACGAGACAAAGGTTCTGGTATGTGCTCTTCTGGTATGGGGCACATGATGTATCTTGCCCCCCCCCACCGCCCAATATCCAGTACATTTCAGAACTTATGCAAATAAGCGACTGCAGCAGGGAGGGAAGGGGCCTTCTGGGACAGGACAGGCTGCAGGAGCTAGACAGGTGGGGGTCCCAGAGCCCATCAAAACCTCACAGAATCGTAAAACAGGAGAGTTGGAAGGGGCCATGGAGGCCCTTGGGTCCAACCCCTGCCATTGCAGGACCCCAGCGTACACCTTGGCTCTCCGGCTCAGGTCCAGCTGACATGCAGTCCCAGCTGGCACAGGAGTCGGCTGCATGAGGACCTCCTCCAAGGCAGCATAACCCTGGGCAGGAATTGGTGGGATGGATCCCTGCAGTCACTTGGCAGACATGAGCGGGAGGCCCACGGGTGTCGTCCTCCGAGGCAGTCCAAGCAAGGCTCCGCTAACTAAGTGCAAGGCACCTCCCAGTCCTGGGCACCAAGGAAGGTCCCTTGCGCTGTCAGCCAGAGGAGGAGGGGGCTCTGAATGCGCACCTGGAATGCACCAGAACACACTCGGAACCTCGGGGAAAAGTACCACAAATCATCCCCCCTCCCAGTGTTGCAGAGTCCCACTGCCGGACATCTACACAGCAGTGGCTGTCACACATGGAATCACTTTCCTGTTGTGGAAGAGGGAATCTAGGTGCTTTCAGTGGTTTGTCACCTGCTGCCCCCACCACAGTGCCAGGATGACGCCACCAGACGGGACCTGCTTCCCTCGCTCTGAAAGGAGTGGCCAAAACGAATGATGCCAAAGCCGCCAAACGTCGGGGAGGATGCTCTCGGGAGAAAGCCAGTGCAGTGTGGGGGAAGAGTGCCAGGCCAGGGACCTGCGAGACCTGAGGTCTGGCCCCAAAAGCCCACTGGGTGCTTCCAGGCCAGCCACCAGCTCGCAGCTGACCTCCTCACAGGGCCATCGTGAGAATAAAATGGCGCCCTGTGAGCTGCCTGGTGCTCCGCTCCAGAGGAACAGGGACAGGATATAAATGCGATGTAACAGCGACAACCGCAGTGGCAGCAGGAGTAAAGCTCCAGGTGGGAAGCATGCCGTGTCGGGGGTGGGTGGGTGGGAGGCAGAGACCTCTTAAATGCTGCTTTGATGCAGAGGCAGATTTCCACGGGTGGGACTTGGGACTGGCAGCTCCTGCACGGCCCTCTGCGGCCTCTAACTGGAGAACAGCTTCTCTGCTCCAGGAGACCTGCTTCTGTCCCAGCCTAGAGATCTTAAGGGCTGACCTTTCCCCAAGAAATCTGCAGTTAACGGCATTAGCTTGTGGAAGCAGCCAGCTCCTCGACGTTGCACTTATTGATGTCCCACAAGAAAAGATGGGCACAGCTCCTGTCTGTACTCCTGACTCGAGGGCGACCCCCACTTTTTAATCCTTGATAGAAAGCTCAGGGCAGCTAAAGACAATGGTGATGCTCATCTGGTGCAGAAAGGGCCGCACCCCATGCAAGCGAGCGGCGGTCGCGCACACAGTGCCTCTCCCAGTGCACCAAGACCAGCAGTGGCACAGTTGGTGCCACTCGGGGAACTTGGAGCAAATCCCTGTTCCCGGGGGGGGGGGGGGGTGTGATGAGCTCGGTCAGCAGAAATCCAGGCACTGAGTGATGACTGGAAGGGAGGACAGCCAGCATTCCTCACTGGTTTGCTTGTTTCCTGATGGTTGTCCATGATATTAGGTCCCACAACTGTATTTTGCTTTGTTGCAGGTTGGTGCCCAGCTGATGGATCATGAAGAGTAGAACCGAACAAGGCCAAGACACATCAGCAGCAGGAAGGTGTTCGTAGACTTGACAGCTAGAGCATTATCTAAGAACACAAAAGCAGGATTTTCCATCTGTTCTGAGCATTCAGCGTTGCCAAGAAAGTCACACAAGCAGTCCATCCCATGATGGCCCACCCTTAAAAACCTTATTTAAGCATACATTATTGGATTGTACAAATGATCCAACTTGGCAAAAACATTTTCACATGGAAGCCCCTGAAGCAATCTCCTAGGCGTGCCTTCCACCCATGATGCCACACTTAAAGTCACAACTGGCTGTGTGAAGAGAGCCCTGCCACCGTGTAGCAGCATTGGCTGGTGCCTTGGAAGCACTGCCAGAATCCACACCATTTTAAGTCCAGAATCCAGCCACCCCCAGCTGAATCCTGTGAGGCATGTGGGTGGGTTCCAGTGCACAGACCAACACATAAAGCCCTTCCTGCCCATGAAGAAGAGCCTCAGCCCAACCAAGCAAGGCTGAATATAGGCTATTTTGTCGCTTTGCATCTTATTTGACAGCTGTCAAATGGGAAGTAAATAGGAAGGAGGCTAATTGCTTATGGCAGGGGGTGGTGAGCATCGTACCCCTTCACAGCAAAATCCTCTAGCTTTGAATACTCAGTGTCTTCTGCCTTCTCCCCAAACTCTAGCTGCTTGGAATGGGGAAGATTGCATCTTGCCCCATTTGCAGGAGCATGAAGTTTTGACAGCTGTCAACAGAAAACGTTTCTTTCAAACTAGTGTTCACGGGGTTTCAGACAGGAAAATATGCAGATGTGAAAAAAGCTGCAAAAGGGGGAAAATAAAGACAGTTTCTTCAGACTCCTAAAATGGGTCCTGAAAGGGAGAAGAGACAGCATGGCTTAGTGGCTGAGTCCCCTGAGATACCAGCTGGGCAGACGTGGGCAGACAAAGCAGCCGTACTGCAGAGTTTTGCAAGGTGGGGTGTCTAGTTGCACAAACTCACCCAGGACACCTAGGAAGGGATCAGCCATTCCACGCTGCAAAAGTAGCAGGGCCCCCGGATAACAACGCTCCAAAATTTGCTTAGCTTTCGCTCTTCACACAAAAACCAGACTTTTCCCTTACGACAAGGACAGATCTGGGGAAACCAGCATGGAAAGCCAGACTCACCTGCTCCCGAGCATTGGTAAGACCCCAGCCCTTCCAGAGACTCCAGGAACTGCTGCCCCAACCAGGATTTGAAAGTTGTTCTTTCCCCAACGGGCACAATTGCAGTGGTGGAATCCTTGAAGATTAAATCTTGCCCTTCGAAGTCCGTAGAACTGAACATTTTAAATCCGTAAGTGTTGTTGTCATCACCAAAGAAATCCTGAAATCCAAGCAGAGGGTTTCGGAATATCTCAGATTGTGCGCATTTCAACGTATCTGACCCGAGGGTAGGGTTGGCCCGCTGCTGCTGCCTGCTGCACATACCAGGCAGGTTCAGATAGAATGACAGGCCATGGTGGAAACAGCAGCGGAGTGGCTTGCCATTATGTCTGAACCCAGGCGAAGCGTGGTGCACTGCGTCTCCAGCCAAACACAGAGAGAAGCAGTGGTCTCTCTTCCACACTGCACTGTGGCTGCTTTAGCACCTGAACCCATAAGCATTGCTCCTGTGTGATTTCTGCAGGTTGGTGGCCGGTTTGCAGGGGAGGCCATATGAGGCGAGACTGAGGGAAGCGGGTCTCTTCAGCCTGGAGAAGAGGAGACTCAGAGGGGACCTGTTGGCGACATGCAGGTATGTGAGGGGGTGTCACACGGAGGTGGGCAGAGACCTGTTCTCCCCTGCAGAGGAAGGCAGGACGCGCCCCAATGGAGCCAAGCTCAGGGAACCCAGGCTCCATTTGGATGCCAGGAAGCACTTCCTGACAGGACCCCCAGGGTGTGGAATGGGCTTCCACGAGAGGTCGTTGAGGCCCCATTGGTGCGGGTGCTCAAAGATAGGCTGGACGTGCACATGGTGGGCGTGTTGTGAGCGGAGCCGGCTGGAGCCGGGGGTCAGACTAGATGGCCCAGGAGGGCCCTCCTGACTCGCTCTGTTTCTATATGTTTCTAGGCTTTGGGCAGAGTGGCTACCACTGCACCTGCTGCTCCTGCCCAGTGACTGCCGACTTGCATCCAGCAGTGCTCTGATTGGCTGCTGTGCAGTAATTCCCCTCCCACTCCCCACTCGCCGCCTCTGGGGACCCACCTGCGGCTCTGGAATTTCAGCAGCAGCGAGCCAGTGCACCATGCTGCCTGCGGCCGCTCCCCACCAGCTGAACTCGCTGCCACCCACTGTGAGGCGCAGGAGGCCTGAGCCACCCTGCCGTGGGTCTGGGAGCGTTACCTGCAGAAGCTCTTGCAGGACGGCCCCTGCCAGCGTGGGTGCCAGCCCCCCTGCCGGCACCCGCTGCATCGCAGTGCCGCTCAGGGCTCCGTGACTGAGCCCGCACCCTGCAGAGGGAGGTGAGGGCTGGACGGGCCACAGCGGTGGGGGACCCGCTGGCTGCAAGCAAGCAATGCGCTCCGGTCACTGGCTTGCCTCAGCGAGACCTGAGTGGCCCCGAGGGGCTGGGGCAGCGACCCTCTCTCAGCGTGGCCTGCCCAGACACTCGCTGCAGAACCACCGTGGCCGGGAGGGCCAGCGGCTGGGGAGCCACCTTCGCTCGCGTCTGGGCCTCGGGTGTCTCTGCCCGACCTCAGGCAACTGAGGCGGCTTTGGAGCCCTGCGGATGTGCCACCCATCTCACTGCCCAGCAGCCTGCCTGGCTGAGTCGGTGGAGCTGGTCTCTGATCTGAAGTGGAGGACCCCCAGGATGGCAGTCCTGGGGGATCTCGGCCTCTGTCTGGAGCAGCTCACGGCTTCATGGCAGCCAGGACAGCCACAGGGCTGCCTCAACACGTCCTGCACTCCAGCATCAGCGAGAAGAGATCTCGGCCTCCCTCTTTGTGGCACCTTGGAGGGACTCATAGAGGGAGATGATGTCCCCGCTCAGCTTTGTCTTCTCAGGGCTGAACATTCTCTCAGTCTTTCCTCTTGGGCAATGTTTCCAAACCCTGGATCATTTCTGTTGCCCTCCTCTGGACTGTTTCTAATTTTCTTGCATCTTTCTTAAATCTTGGTGCCCAGGACTGGACACAGTATTCCAGGTGAGGTCTGAATAGTGAGGAACAACTACTTCTTGTGATTTTGAAGTAATACTTCTATTAATGCATCCCAAAATTGCATTTTGCCTTTTAGCAAATCAGTCAGTCCCAAAGGAAATCAACCCCAACTGTTCTTTAGGAGGAGATACTGAAGCTGAAGTGCAAATACTTTGGCCACATAATGACAGGGAAGGACTCATGGGAGAAGACCCTGATGCTGGGAAAGATGGAAGGCAAAAGGAGAAGGAATGGCAGAGGATGAGATGATTGGACAGTGTCGTCGAAGCAATGAACACAATTTTGGGTGAACTCTGGAAACAGTGGCGGATAGGAACGCCTGGTGTTAGGGTCCAGGGGCTCATGAAGAGTCGGGTACGACTGTGCAACTGAACAACCAAATCGCACTTTACTTTTATGGGTTGTTGTAAACTGGAGTGCTCAGAGAGCTTTGGTAATGGGCTCATACAGAAATGGCGTCAGTAACAGCAGTGGCAGCAGCCTCACTCCTGCACAGTAAGGGCGAAAAATGGGCACACCCAGTAATGATGGGGATAAAACCATATTTCGAAGCTCACGTGAGCGCTTACATTTTCTCCCATTTGTACCTGAGCTTTGTCCAGAAGTCCGTACACAGCCAAAGCACTGCTGTCCGGGTGGACCATGACCGCCCGAGCAGGCACCCGGCCCCAGTGGCACTCGGCGAATTGGCCCACTTCAGCCCGGGCACCATTTGGGCACAAGAGCTGGAAGTCCTCAGACTGGAGCTGGGAGGCCCACGACTCAGCGTTGTTCCCTGAAAGGGCAAGCGGACCCTCCAGAGGCTGCTGTCAGGAAGGGGCAAGTGGGGGCCCCCAGAGGCGGCTGCCAGCAACTTACCATCTGTGTTTTCGAAGACTGAGGTGTGCTTGACAAAGGCCACGTCACCCTGGCTCTCAGCTAAACACCTGCGACGGGGAACAGCAGGGTCACCACCTCCACTGGCAGCAGGAGGCGCTCCCTCGGTGCCGGGGCTTCTGCCCCCGAGGAGGTCGCTCCCCTCCCCGAAGAGGGCTGTGGAGGCCCCTGGAAGTCCTCACGGCCGTAACCGGTAGAACTGCAGTCGCCTCCTGCCCCGAGCAAGGCACACTCGCCCCATGCTTGGGGTCGCAGGGAGCCGATTCTGGGGAGCCTCCATGTTCAGGCCGACCTGGAGCGCAGCGCTCCGCCAAGACCGCCCCGGCCGAGAGACGGGCGCTCCCCGACCCGTCGCCAAAGAGCTGGCCCAAGACACGGCAGTGCCCGCTTCCGCTGCCATGCCGCAGAGCGCCCCCCACACCCCGTTGCGGGGAAGGCCTCTCCTGGGTTGGCGCTGCTGGACGGCAGGCGCGAGGAGGGGCCGGCCAGCGAGTGCGGCGAGCGTGCAGCCCGGCACTGGCAGGGGCAGGCGGGGGCCGCAGGCGGCACCCCCGGCAGTCGGGCTGTGGCAGGGCCGAGCCAGAGCGGGCTGGGAGCCCCGAGGGGCCCGCCGCCGTGACACAGCCAGCGCGGGCCTGGCGCCACGTGGCGTTTTGGCTCTTGCCTGCAGCGGGGCTTCCACGTACCTGAAGGCCCCTGCATAGCCGTAGTAGCGCTCCTGGCTGCTGGCGTCGCACTTGTGGTTGCCGCGGTCGTCACCCACGCAGAGCTCGCACAGGCTGGCTGGGTAGTCTTCTCGGCTGGCAGCAGGAATGCAGCTGGCAGAGAAAAAGGAGCTCACCGCTGGAAGGAGAGCAAAGGAGACAGGAAGCCAGGCTTGTCCACTCATGCCCAATCAGGGATGGGGAATGTCCTTTGGCCCCAGGGCCAGTCGGGCCCCCGGCTGCAAGTAAGGAAGTGGCTGCATTGACTTGTGGCCTGGATCTTCATTTTCCAGACCCCCCCCCCACCCACCCCATTCTCTCCCACATTTCTTGTTCATACACAGACTGACTGTGGTTGCTGCAGTATGAGGGCGTGTGTGTTGATGTTGGACTCGAAATCCTGCCTCACCCTCAGAAATGCGCCATGTCGGCCACAGCGCCCGCCATCAGGCGAGGGGAGCACGGGTGGCTTGTGACACTCGCTCTGGTGCAGCTGTTTCGTGTTTAAAAGAATTCCTCCTTTTGCTGCCCTGTTCAATAGTCAGCACACTCCTTGGGAGATTTTTCAAAAGCTGTTTTTCTCATGCAAACCCGAGAATTCCTCATTTGGAGAATGAGGTGCATTCGTAGTTTTCTGTCTTGCTGCTGTTAAGTTCCTCTTCCTCCTAACACTACCATCATTGTTCCAGAATTTTAATAGGGATAGAAGAAACTAAATTAAAAACCAAGAAGTTTGGCCTGCTTGAGATGTCTCTTTCCCTTCCTTCCTCCAGATACTGTGTACTCTTTCTTAAAGGAAATGCAGGAACACCTCCTGGCTTCTTCCATCCATCTGGTGCCATCACCAAGGGAGACAAGCAACAGAGGCAGCTCTGTTTAGCCAGAGCCCGCTCATTCCATGAGCACATCTTTCCCCTTTTGCTTTTCCAGCCAAGAAAGATTAGAGGATACTAGCACAGTGTTTCATTGAGCTAGGCTGCCAGAGGGAGTAGTACAAAAGTTGCAGAATCGGAGGATCTTGGAGTTAGAAGGAGCCTGATCCCCTTCTCTGCGAAGGACTCCGAGTTGAGGCATCCCTGACGGATGTCTGTCCAGCTGCATCTTGAAGGTCTCCAGTGTGGGAGAGCCTGCAACTTCTTGATCTTTGGCTCCATCTTTGCATTATTACTCTAACTGCTGTTCAGACAGAATCTGGCTTCCTGTGACTTGAGCACATTATTCCATGTCCTGACTCTGGGATGAACAAGAAGAGATCCTGGGCCTTCTTTGGGTGACAACCTTTCAAGTATTGGAAGAGAGTTACCATATCTCCAGTCAGTCTTCTTAAGGCTAAACAGGCCCAATTCTTCCAGGGTCTTTTTGTAGGGTTTTTTTTTTCACCATCTTTGTTGCTCTGCTCTGAATCTTTTCAAGTTGTGATGCCTAGAAGTGCACACAGTCCTCAAGATGAGGCCTGGCCACTGCTGAGGAGAACTAGAATGTCATATGACTTCAAAACGATACTTCTGTTAATGCTTCCCAAAATAGCGTTTGCCCTTTTTGCAGCCACATCACACTGTTGACTCATATTCCATTTGTAATCAGCGATGATTCCCAGATCCTCCTCACTTGCAGTGTTCTTGAGTATTGTTGCTAGCAAGAAACATCCGTCAAGTGAATGACCCTTCTAGTCCTGCCCATGCCCAGTTTGATTCCAAATTAGAAACACAGAAACAGAGCGAGGCAGAAGGGGTCTCCCGGGCCATCTAGTCTGACCCCCAGCTCCAGCCGGCTCCGCTCACGACATGCCCACCATGTGGACGTCCAGCCTGTCCTTGAACACCCGCACCGATGGGGCCTCGGCCACCTCTCGTGGGAGCCCATTCCACACCCTGGGGATCCTGACTGTCAGGAAGTGCTTCCTGGCATCCAAATGGAGCCTTGGCTCCCTGAGCTTTGCTCTGTTGGAGCGCGTCCTGCCTTCCTCTGCAGGTCTCTACCCACCTCCGTGTGACACCCCCTCACATACCTCACAAATTGAAACCCCCTCCTCCCTCCCCCACTGAAAGAAGCTGCCTCCATTGCCAGGGAGGGCCATGCTGCTTGTGGGCCAGCTGGAAGGAACCTCGGACATTACCCAGCTGGCCCGCTGGTCTGGCTTCCTGATGAGCCACCAGCCTGATGACTCCACACTCTGACCCCCTCCGTTTGCATGGGCTTCTCCTTGCGGAGCCAAGTTGATCGGTTCTCGCCAGAAGCTCGGCTAATCGCAGAGCTCCTTAAGCTTGCCGTTTTGGCTAAGCATTCCAACCTGCTGTCTTCCTTAACTGCAGAGTCAGAGCCTGAAGTTTGTTGCTTGGGAGAAGCAGCCCAGTCTGTTGTGGGAGGAGCAGCCCAGCCTGTATGGTGCATCCCATGCACAGAGCTATGGCTGCTCAAAGGAGTCTCTGAGCTCTCGCACGCAAGGCGATTTCTAGCAACGGGGAGGGAATGGCTGTTTCCTTTGCCAGTGCTGATACTGGAAGCCTCACTCAGCCTAGGAAGGGAAATGTTCCTACCCCTGATGTCTATTTATTTGTTACCCTTTCTGTTCCCCCCACTAGGTGAAGCTTTCTTGGAGGCTTACAACAATTCATAAAAACATGGACCACCAATGCAATAAAAACACATAAAGTTTTTCAAATATACAAAATATTAAAAAATGAATTGTAAAAACATTTTAAATACAAACAACACTTGTCCAAAAAAGCCAGCATAAATGCCCCTGATGCCATTAAATATCTGGGAAAAGAGGGCAGTCTTGATCTGGTACCAGAAGGATGCTCCGGCCGAAGTGGGAAGGTCCTTCCATCGGCCAGCCTCCTTCTGAGGTAGCACTGGGCGGGGTGGGGGGCTCAGATGTTGATCACAGCATCTTAGTAGATCCAGGCTGGAAGAAGCGCTCCATCCAGTACTGCGGTCACAAGCCATGCCAAGCTTTTATAGGTCAAAACCTGCACTGTGAACTTGGTTCAAACGCATGGAGACAGTCAGTGCTATTGGGCCAGAGCAGTGTTGCAGGTTGGGACCTTCTCGTTGCTTTTATGCATCTGGCTGTGGTGTTTTGCACAAGCTGCAGCTACCATTTTCAACAAATGCTCCATGCGGAGCGTGTTGTAGCAACCTAACTCGGAAGCTGCCAGAGCACACATTACAGAAGCCACGTAACCCCTGTCCAGAAGGGGGTGCAGCCAGCTCAGCTGCTGGAGCCGCAGGAGGCGCTCCATGCGCCTGCTTCTTCAAGGGAAGTGCCGTTCCACCTAGCTAGCAGAACTGCTCGCTCAGCAGCTGGTGGCAGAGAGGAGAGGTGGGGCCTTGGGAGATGAGGAAGGGCCTGGGAAGAATCTGGATGGCCCCCTCTGGCTAGCTGTGTCTCATTCCTTTCCCACACATGCCTCAGTGAGACTGGAAGGATGTCCTGAACAGACCTGGAACTGGAAGAGGTTCCAGGGCTAATTGATATACCCTTCCCAGGCTGCAGTGTCTGAGAACTAGCCCAGGCGAGTTGCGAGCTTTGACCCACAGTGGCCACTCCTGCTGTGCGGCTCACTGGTCCGCATGTCCTCCTGGGCTCTGCTCTCTGGCGGAGTCATAATGCTCCCAGGAAAGCTGTCCCGCATCCGTCAGAGCAAGCACAGCCTGACCCATCAATAAAGTGTGACCTTCAGCTACCTTTAGAAGGCCTGGGCCTCCCCGGCATCCTGGCATAAATTTGCAGAGGCCGGGAGGAAAGTGGCTGGGGAGCGGTTTGGCGGGCGACTTGTGGCCCCCATTGCTTCTTCCATTCAAAACACCCTCTCCAATTTCCAGATTGTTGATCGAGACATGGGGAGGGGGGGAGGCACCCTGACTGCCCCAGAAATTCAGAGATAGGCGGGAGCCCCGGGGGGGGGGGCAGCATTCCCTCGCCACACACACACCCCCTTACCTTTGAGGATGCTGCATCCCTGGGGCTGGATGAGTCCCATTCTCAACAGGAGGCCCACAGGGATCTTCCACCCGGCTGTCCTCCCATAGCCCGTGTGGCAGGACTTTTTCCCCTTCAGCTCATGGATTGTGAAAGCATCAGACGCTGCCCGCCTCACAACCGCCACAGCGTAGTACGTGCTTGTGGAGTCCCCATCTGGATGTGGGAGCGGGGAGATGGGGAAGCACAACAGTGAACAGGAATCTGAGATGTGCGCCTGCCCGCAGGACTGGTTTCCATCACTCCTTGCCTGCGACTACGTTCGCTTGGTGGGAGAACTCGGTGGACACTGGGACAAGTTGCTCGTCTTTCCAGTGACATGTCTCAGAAATACACGTGGGCGAGGCTCAGAGGTGGAATGCTGACTGACCCCGCGCTCTGGGGGTGGATGAAGGGCTTGTGACCAGAATAGGGGGACGAGGCAGAGGGGCCACGGTGGAGGCACGGAGCCCGCTCTGACGCCCGGAGGGGTGAGGGCTCCCCCTGCTCTTTGCTCCTTGGCTTCCTCTTGCTTAGTAGCTGCTCCTTGCAGAGGAGACTTCACAGCTAAGGCCAGGAGGAGAAAATTAAAACAGGACCAGATTCTGAGGCTGGCAAGTCGAACCCCTGACACCAGCAGGAACGAGGAAGGGGCCCAAGGAGCTGCAAGAGGGGAGTGACACACAGCAACCTCTGCACTGTGGGGCCTGCTCTGGGGCTGGGCGAAGTCCTCGCGGAAGCACGCCTGCTCGGCAATTCCTCCTCCGAGGCGTTGCTCTGTCTCCCCTCCCTGGAGGCCTCGAATCGCCAGACGGCAGCTGATCGTTCAGGCACAAGGTGCCTGTGTTCTCGGCCGCCTCTGTGCTCACCTGCATAGCGTTCCCCCGCAGCAAGCGCTAAGCCGTATGTCTTCCCAGCTAGGTAAACATCCTCCCCCGCCAGAGTCACGGCGTCAACGGCTCTTTTCTGAAAGGAGATGAACGCACGTCTGCGGTCTGCAAAGCCCCCTCCGCACTCGCTGCGTCCTGCTGAGGGCCTGGGAGGCACGATGCCAGGCAGGCCACGCTCTCCCCTGACGGCAGGCACAGCGCCCCACATGGCCACCACCTCTCGCCCACATCCCGCGGTGCGAGGAGGACGGGTCCTGATGCTCAAGGCCGGGGCGCGATGAGCAGCCAAAGCAGGTGAGAGCCCTTCTGCTGTCCAGAGAGATCAGGCAGGTGCCTGTCCCAGTGCACCCTCTGCCCTTTCTTGTAAATTGGGGTGGAGAACCCTGCCCGAGCCCCCCAGCATTTCCTGGTAGCCACCTAGCACACACTAGAAGAAAGACTGAGCCACCCTGACGAATAGCTGTCCACGGCCGTATTCTGGTTGCTGACTCCCAGCTGAGCAGGTCAGAGCGAGCTGCCCCAGCTGCTCCGGGGCCTCTGGGGTACAAGCAGCCAAGCGCCCAGGGGCCAGTGACCAGAGCAAGCACACGGGAGTTTCACGGGGAGGGCCTTAACTTCCCCCTTCTTTCCTTTTTGTTCTGTCCCCTTAGTTCCCTCACTCAGTTGTTTTCCTTCTTGTGACATACCCCTATTGACTAGTGGGGCTGTGTTGTTAACCTTTAGGGAAGACAGGATAAAGCACCAGTTGTCACCAACCCCCAAGACACAACAGCCCCGCAATCCTGAAAGAGAATTCCCCAAGCACAGCTACGAGCAGTTCCATCAAGACAGAAGTGTAGCAAACGATCGAGGGAGCCCACGGGACTCCACAAAAGATTAAGACACTACCTGAAGGAAGACAAGAAAATGTGCGGGGAGGTGGAAGCAGGGCCAAGTCACAAAGGAAGACTACACGCAAATAGCAAGCGATTGCAGGGATTCTGGCAGGAAGGCTAAAGCAGGAGAGAACTGAGACTAGCAAAGAACAACACAGAAGCCTCCTTGAGGTACATCCAAAACAAAAGACATATAAAGAGAAAGGTGTCCAGCTTTTTAAAGTGGATGGCAGAGTGATAACAGACAACAAGGAAAAGGTGGAGGTGCTCGATTCCTACTTCACCTCCATCTTCCTTCACAAGAAAATCTACGACGAAGAGGCAGAACAAGCAAAAGGGAGGGGTGGCAGCCCCAGATTGACAGACAAGTGGCCAAGGAATAACTAAATGGAATAAACACATTCCAATCTCCAGGGCCCAGTGAATTCCATCCCACATCCAAAGAGAGAGAAATGGGACAGGTGACTTATTGCTGCCCCTCTCCTGGTCCTTCCCCCAGCCAGACGGTCCCTGGGAACCAGGCCTGCTGAGAAGCGCTGGGCTGGCGAAGAATGGAACCTCCGACGGAAGTGGGCTCTGGGCTGGTGCCGAGACAACCCGGATGCTGGTCCTGGCTGATGCCAATGTCCACGCAAAGGCTGCCCTGCCCAGGGTGGCTCAGGACTTCATGGAGCCCCAGCCTGTTCACCAGCCCATCACAGGAGCAGGGACAAACACTGCACCTGGTTTTCTTGACAGGCCAGGATGATGGCAATCCGGTGGTTGGGGAGTGTACAAGCACCCCTTGTCATGGAAAAACCACTTTCTTTCAGCTTCCTCTTCCCTCGGGGGGGAGGGGGGACCCATTCAGTTGATCCAGCCCTAATGGATCCTGAGGATTTCCAGAAAATTCTGGGAGATTTTCTGGCTGGCATGGTAGGCACTCCTGCTGAAACCCAGCTTTCTCTGCAGAACAGGGAGACGGCCTGGGCAGCTGACACGACTGCCCACAAATGCCTCTCCCCCCTTGCAGAGCCCAGCTTGCTGCTTGGTGAGCATCGGGGCTGCGGGTGATGAGGCAAGAGGGGAGATGGCTAGAGTTTGGGCTGAATCCACCCAAACATGGCTTGGTGTTCATTCCTGAGCCTATTTGGTGGCAGTGAAGGGGCCGAGAGGACATTTCTCTTCCACCTGCATCATGTCCTTGGAGCCCTCGCACTTGCCCACTCAACCCTTGCCCATTGTGGCTTACTGGGAGATCGGGGGGGGGGGTTGTACCTGGGCCCAGGGGCTGCCGAGGCCGCCTTGAGAGAGGGAGTGATGCCAGCCCCCTTAAAGGCAGCGGTGATGGCACCGCTCCTAAAGAAGCCAGGCCTGGCCCTGCGTGATGCAAGCCATTTAGACAAGTCGCTCATATCCCCTTCCCGAGCGAGGTGATGGAGTGGGTGGTGGGCGGGCAGCTCGAAGGCCTTCTGGAGGAAGCAGCTTGTCTAGATCCATTGCAGCGGGGTTTTCGGCCTGGGTTAAGGGTGGAGGCTGCCTTGGTTGCCCTGGGGAATGACTTTTGCCACGAGAGATATGGGGGCATGTGAGCCTGTTGGTTATCCTGGACCTCTCCGTGGCTTTCAGTACCGTTACCCATGGTATCCTTCTGGAATGGCTGGCTGGGCTGGGAGCAGAGGGCACCACTTTGCGGTGGTTCTACTCCTCCTGGGCTGACTGGTTCCAGATGGTGACACTGGGGACTGTTGCTCTGTGCCATGGCGGTTGCGCCATGGAGTCCCGCAGGGTCCGATTTTGTCCCTCATGCTTTTTAACCTCTACGTGAAACTGCTGGGAGAGGTCAGCTGGAGGTGTGGCTGAGATGCCACCATAATGCAGGTGACACCGAGCTCCACCTTGGCTTTTCATCTGGCCCAGGTGAGGCATTGGCTGTCCTGGACTGGTGCCTGAACCTGGTAACGGGCTGGATGAAGGCCAATGAACTGAAGCTGGATCCAGAGAGGACAGAGGCCCTGTGGGTGGGCAGAGCAATGTCAGCTCCGTGTTCCAGTCTTCTCAAGGCTAAGCATGCCCTGTTCATTCAATTCATTCCAAGTTACAGTGACTGAATCAGTCCACATTCTAACAATGTATGCCTGCAAATATTGAAAGCAAAACAATGGCCCACATATTGAAAACTTTCAATATGTATTCCGATTTGAAGGAAAGGAGATGCAAAGGAGTGTAGGAATCATAGGATTATTGCAGTAGTTTCCCATTTAAGCAAGCTGATCCTGAAGGTGTTGCAATAAAGAATATTTCCCAATAAAGGAGCAAGAAATGCCTGACATTCAAGCTGGATTCCGAAAGGGAAGAGAAAAATATGCATATACGTTGGCTACTGGAGCACACCAAGGAATTGCAGAAGACCAGTCTGTGCTTAAGGATTGGAAGGGTAGCAATGAAGGAATTAGAAAAGGCCATAAAATGTACGGATGTCTTACTGGAGAGCAAGGCCAAGATCATCCACACTATTGTATTCCTGATCAGTATGTATGGGTGTGAAAACTGGACAGTGAAGAATATTATTGCGTGTGAAATGTGCCGGAGGACAGGTTTTTGAATACCCTGGACAGACAGAAAGACAGACATGTGGGACCGAGATCAAATCAAGCCAGAGCTTTCCCTAGAAGCAAAAATGACCCAGCTGATGCTGCCATACTTTGGGAGCACCACGAGAAGGCAAGGCTCCCTGGAGAAGGCCACCATGCCAGGGAAAGTCCAAGGCAGAAGAAGGGAAGAGATGGAGCCGCTCCATAAGGGAAGCCTCAGCCTTGAGCTTCGAGCAGTTAAGCAGGGATGTCCTGGGCAGGATATGTTGAAGGGCTTTCATTCTCGAGGTACCCAAAAGGTGGAGCCAACCTGATGGCACGAAACAGCAGTAAGCACACCTGCTCCTAATTCCAGATCACTTATGAACAAGACGAAAGCGTCGGTCCCAGGGCCTTCCCCTTGGGGAACCCCACTGCTTGGACGCCTGCTCTCTGCTGGCCCTTCTTCAACATTGTCCGACTGCGGGATCTGCTCAAGTGTCTGTGTTGATGGTCTCTGTCAAGAGCCTTTTATAAGCACGAGCAACCGCTGCCTGTCAGGTGCCGCTTCTCTACATGCTTTGTGAAAAGTCTTGAACTGCACAGTGGGGCACAAAAGTTTCAAGCAAGGTCGATGATCCATCCACTGGCCAGCCTCGTGGAGGGCTCACCTGCACCAGCAGGGGGGAAGAGGGGCCTCAGCTGGCACTGGTCTTCCTTAGGCCACCGTGGCTTCTGCAGATCCACCAGGTGCCGCCCAGCTGCCTGGAGAGACCAGCTGCATGCCCTGCCCCAGCCCTCGGCCAGGGAGCTCGGGCAAGCTCCGCTCACCAGAAGGGCCGGTCAGCCCCAGTCTGCAGCTGCCCTGGGGCTGCCACACTGAAGCGAGGCCCCTGCAGGCTCCTGCCACGGCCAGAGCTGCAAAGCCTGTTGGGGCACTCGCCACACCTCCGCTCCAGTTAGCCCACCAGCACCCGGGGCCGGCCTAGAGCCCCAGCCTCCTGGCCTGGCTGGTCTGAGCTCCCCTTCCTTGCCCGCCCATTCCCTTGCAAAGCACCCGCACCGCAGCGCACACCTGGATCCACTGCATGCACTGCTCTTGACTCGTCGCCGAGACGCACTGGATTTGTGGCTTCAAGCTTTTTCTCTGAAAGGCCATGGCCATGGCACTGCATTTCCTGATCTCCTCTGTAGACAAGACACACCAGCGCAGAAATTCTGGCAGACCTGCAAAAGGCCATTTGCCAGAAAGCGGTTGAAACCTCTGATGCGGTGGGACCTCCCTCTCCCACCCCTTGCTCCCGATGCTGCATCCACCACAGCACGTGCTTTTCTGGCCACTCCATTGTAGAATGGAAATCCTGGAGTGCCACAAGAAGGCATTAGACCTGCAGCAGGCAGAAGGAAGACCCCTCGATCGCCGGGGCTGCAGTTCCCAGAAGCCCCTACCAGCTCAGCCAGCACTCTGGACTGCTGAGCGTTGAAACCACAGGCTGACCTGCTCGCTGCCTGCCCTGGGGCCAGGCCAGCTGCCCTGTGTGGAAAGGCTAAAACTTCTGCAGAAGACTTCTCGTTGCACACTGCGGATGATACTTCAAGCACCACTACGCTAGTGGGCAAGGAGCCATTCCGTACATGTATGAAGAATGAGTCATGCTTCTAGCCTATATGGCCGGAAGTGTGTGTGTGCTTCCCACACCTTTTTGACCTCCTCCCACCTGGCTGTGGTCAACAAGGTTGCTCATCTCATCCCTCGGTCCCTCAGGAGTCCACCTTCTTCCCCTGATGAATCACCTTCTTTGATGATGTCACCTTTCCTGCATTGCCCCAAGCCTTTTCGACCAAAAATGCCCAACTGGTTTGTCTTCCCTTCCTCTCTGGGCATTTTCTCGCCCACCCCAGCTCACAGTCATACCCCACTTCTGTGTGGGATCTCAGTCTTGCTATGGAGGCCCAAGTTGTCCTTACTGGACGCGTTGCAGTCCAAGCCTCGAATGGCAAGCAGGTATTCATCTCCCAACCAGGCTTGATAAGTCTGCTGAAGAATGGGGACCAGCTCAGTGGTCGAGTCTTTGAAGAGAAGGTTCTTCCCACCATAGGCGTCCGAATCGAACATCTGGAAACTGGAATCCCCGCCATCAAACTTTTGCTGAAATACAGAAAGAAAAGCGAGTCTCAGGGGCAATGCCCCTTCTCCTGAAGGTGAAGGCACGTTATTTCTCAGCTCTGCAGTAACCAGCCAACACGGGCCGGTGCGACTCAGGGGTCAGAGCGCTGGGCTCAGCGGGGACTTTGAGTGCAACCTGCCCTCCCAGGGTTGACATGAGGCTAAAACGGAAGGAGGCAAGGTTCACGCACGCTGCCCTGAGCTCCCTGAAGGAAGAGGTGGGGTACAACTCTCACACGCACACACAAAAACACAAGCTGGCCAGGGCCCGACCAAAATGGGGGGCACCATACCCAGAGGAGCCAGGTGAGTGCTGAAAGTTGGGCCGGCCCAGGTGTGCCCCAGGAGCTGTCCGGTCTTGCTGTCTGGGACTAGGCAGCTGCAGATTACATGGCACACTGCCTGGGGGGGGGGGGGCGAGGGCTGGAGGGTGCCCACGGATGCTGCGGGATGCTCAGAAGGAAAAGCCCCTTTGCACCTCTTAAAGCGTCTCGTGATTCTGTGGGGGCAACGGCACCCCTCCTTCTGCCCGTGAGTGCAGCTGTTGAAGGCACACGACCCGATTGGAGGAAGGGAGCAGACAGGCAGGAATCCTGCAGGTGACCAATCGCTGGCAGCACAGTGAGCATGGCAGATTGGGGGGGGGGGGGGCCTGCGACACGGATCGCTGCTGCTTCATGCCCACTTGGCCTCGCCTCCCGCCTTCTGCAGACCCCACACGGATGGCCTGCCATGCGCAGAGGCGCCCCACTTCAGTGGCTGGAGGTCGGCCACTGCCTGCAGGTCTGGCGTGGAGAAAGTGTTCCCACCATTCAGTCCTCGCTGTGTCGGTAGCTGAGCCAGCCTGCAAGGAGGACCCACCTGCCCCTGGCTGAGCAGCCGAAAGACCAGGCCCCCATCAGTGTCCCCTCTGGCCACCACAGCATGAGCGGGGACACGGGCCAGGTGACAAGTCCGCCATGCTGTGATCGCTGCCTTGCTTCCATCTCGGCAGAGCAGCTGGAAGTCCCACGGCTGCAGCTGGTGGGCCCACGAGGGACGATTCTGCCCTGGAAGTGAAAAGGGCCATTGCTCGACCAGGAGGTTACGAGGCCAATCAGCCCCCTCGCCCCACCCCCATTCTGGGTGATCCAATTGATGCATTTATCAGATGCTGCAAGGAAGGCGGGAGGAGGAGGAGGAGGTTTAGCTTAAATGTCCACAGAGCACCCAAGCAGCCAGCCAAACTGAGAGAAACTTTTCGTTAAACACCAAGGCACCTGCTCCCCTGGCATTCCAGGTCACATTCCTCCCTGAGTAGCAGTGAGATAAGGGATGCGCCACAGGCCTCTCTTCTTTGTCAGGTCAGGTCATGAAGATGGCGACTCCAGGAGAAGGAACCAGAGCACCCTTCTTCTGTCAACCTTGCCTAAAAACAAGTCATCTGGAGCAATGCCCACGGGGCGCATTCTGGATCCTCGGTGTCTGAGACCTGAGAACAGTAGAGCTGCAGAGGCCAAGAAGGACACCCTGCTCAGCGCAGGACTCCCGGGTTCAACCACGCTTTTCAGAAGGCTCTCCAGTTGCATCTCGAATGCTTCTGGTGTGGGAGAGCCCACCATCTCCCCAGGTCTCTAGTTCCATTGCTGCACTGCTCCAAGACTCAGGGAGTTCTTCCTGATACCTAATCAGGGCTTGTAACTTCAGCCCTCTGCCCTGGGTCCTGCACTCTGGGATGACTGGGAAGAGACCTTGGCCTCTCGCACACAGGGGCATTCGAGAGGCAGCTGGGCAGTTTGGAGTCCTGTACTGAGCAGGAAGTTGGACCTGATGGCCTCACAGACGTCTTTCAACTCTACTATTCTATGATTTGATCATCACTGCATTGTTTTCAAAGTACCTGCAGACTGACTGCAATATAATCTGCTCCAGAACTTTCCCAGGGAACTTTCCCAACTGGTCTGGCATTCCCAGGTTTGTTTTTCCCTTTCTTGATGATGGGCATAATGTCAGCCCTTCTCCAGTCATCTGGCACTTCCCCTGTGCTCTGTGACTTCCCAAAGAACATAGTCAGTGGCTCCAAGAGTTCTTCTGCCTGCTCCGTTATGACTCCGGGGTGCAGTTCATCGGGCGCTCGAGAGCTGGACTCAGCTAATCCAATGAGAGGATCCCTGGCCATCTGCCTGTCAGTCCCGACTTGCCGTCCTGCTCCTTCAGCTTGTACTTCCCCTTCATCAGGAAGGCCACAGATCCTCTTTTGGGAGAAGACTGAGCCAAGAAAGGGATAGACCGTTCCTGCCTTCACTTTTTGTCTGATCTCATTTTGCCACCCACATTGAGTGGTCAAGCCACAGTCTGTGCTTTTTCCTCTTTCCTGAGGGTTAGCAGCAGAGTTTTACCAGTAAATGAGTGGGAGGGGAGAGGAGAGGAGAGGAGAGGAGAGGAGAGGAGAGGAGAGGAGAGGAGAGGAGAGGAGAGGAGCGGGCCAGTGGTTCCCCATGCATGGGACCTGACCCACTCTGCCAACTGCCACCTACCCTTCCCAACTCTTACCCCATCCAAGCATCTTGTCTGCAGCCCGACCTACCCTCTGTGGCATCAGCTACTGTGCTGTGCTTGACAAAGGCAACGTCTCCCTTGCCATCCGTCAGACACCTGCAGAAAACACCAGGCAACAATCAAGTCACGGCAAAGTGAGCAGCATCCGCTCGGCTGCCCCCAGGAAGGCTTTGGGCAGGTGGCTGCTCAGGCTCCAGCCACACAGTGCCCACAGCTCTGCAGCCCCCCTCTGGCTGCCCTCAGCGCAACGCAACACCACGAGGGCAGCTGCTGGGGGCCAAGGCCAACGCGGGGCCGAAGGGCCTTGTTCTTGCTGCACTGAACTGGCCACGTGACTCAGTCGCAGAATCTGGGCCTCCTAATTATGGACTTAATAGTCTGAAAGCTGCCAGGCTCCTTAAGCAGCACCGGGATGGCAAAGGCTGTGGAAGGGACACCCACCTCTGCCCACCCCCCGGGGCGCAGCCTCACGCTGCAGGAGGGCTGCTGAGCCAGCCTGCTTGTGCTTTGCCACAGAGAAGCTTCCTTGTGGACACCGAACGGCAGCTCAGAACGCGATCGATGGGTTTCTGCAGGAGCGGGCGATGGAGCAGAGCCAGGGAGGCTGGGCCCTTGGGGAGGGGGCTTTGGGCAGCCTGCAAACGGCAATGGCTTTAGAGAAGGTGGTCCACTGGGGGCTGCAAGAAGGGAGCTGGACGGGAGGGGGCACGGCAGGGGCAAAAGCCGGGGGTCAAGAGCAATGACAGGGGAGGGAAGCCGAGGAAGTCCGGGGTGGGGGGGAGGCTTGGCACACCAGTCCCAGCATTCCTGACCATCGCCCAGGCTGATGGGAGTGGACTGGGGGCACCTTGGGCAGGTGTGGGAAGAAGTGGGGGAGGCAGGCGGAGGAAGGGCATGGCATCCCGCTCCTGCTTCGTACTGGAACAAGGGACAGTGGTCCTGGGCAGAAGGTGCAGAGGCAGTCCATAAGAGAGCGCCGGCGACGGGAAGGGCCTGGCCGAAGCGCACGCAACTCAGGGCTGTGGAACGGCCCTGCAAAGACGGACGCGGGGAAGCGGGACTGCGAAGCCTTAGGGAAGAAAGGCAGGAGCGTTGCAGCCCAGATGGCTCCTCCTCAAGCCTTCCAGTTCACGGGAGAGGAAAAGACCGAGAGAAATTGGGAGTTTGGAGCCACGGGCTAAGCTTCCCGGAGACAGGCTGCTGGCAAGCAGGGGGCTGCCCCTTCTGAGGAAGGGAAGCGTGTGCTTGGCCGCAGCGCGAAGAAGTCCTTCAGGAGGGCTTTGAACTGAGTTCTACAGCAGAGGGAGAGTGCATCAACCGGCAAAGGATGATGTAACAGCGGAAGCAGCTCTAGCCTTCCAGAAAGGCGGGAAAGAAGCCAGGCAATAATTCATGTGGCCGTCCATGTCCACACACCAATGCGCAAAGCATGGGGACCAAGCAGCATGAAGCTGAACTCTCATTACGTGAGGGCAAATATGGCTTGGTGGGCGTAGCTGAAACTTGGTGGGACAAAGCCTGTGAATGGAGCTGAAAAACTGCAGGACGTTTCCTGTTCAGAAAGAACCGCAAACACTTTCAGCAAGGAAAAAGCGGCATAGAGAACAGGGGAAGCCCGTTTCCAAGGCCGCCTGAGATCACAACCCGGGCGCAAAGCAGGGGCTCTCCCACGCCATACTGCGGGTGGCCGGGGTGTCCAGCCGGCTCCGCGGCAGGAGGCGGGGCTTCTGCTCTGGCTCCGCCTTGCTGCACAGACACCCCTGGGGGCGGGAAGGGTCAGACACCGGGTGGATGTCCCAGGAGGAGGGGCCACCATGGCTACGGCAGATACCTGAAGGCACCCAGGTAGTCGTAATACTCCTCTCTGGGGCTTGGCTCACACTTGCCCTGGCCGGCTTCGTCTCCCTTGCAGAGCTGGCAGAGGGATGTGGGGTACGTGCCTCCACCAGCCCCTGGCACACAGCTGGCACTGAAATAATCGCCCACCGCTGAAAGAGAAGGAGGGACTGAGCAGCTGGAGGTCCCACCAGCCAGCACCACGCCGCTCCTGTCATGGTGTGCCTGAGCCTCTGGGGAACCAAGGCAGTTGTGCAGGCACAGCGGAAGCTCGGGGGAATCCCACCCTAACATGCGGGCTCCCCTCCACTGGCCAGGAGAGCCAGATGGGGACCGTGGGGAGCATCAGGCTCTTGCGCCTCGGAGTATATGGCAGGCGGCCAGCCGGAGCCGCAGGGATGCGGGAAACATGCCGCTGCCCGTGCAGTCATGAACTCTCGGCCCACGTCCGGCCAGACCAGAGCTTGGCCTGAATTCTGGGGAGGAGCTGGAGCACTTTGGATCCCGAGGGTGTGGCAAGGGCTTCCACAGGGGGGTCATTGAGGCCCCATTGGTGAGGGTGTTCAAGGATAGGCTGGACATGCACATGGCGGGCATGTTGTGAGCGGAGCCGGCTGGAGCCGGGGGGTCAGACTAGATGGCCCGGGAGACCCCTTCTGACTAGCTCTATGTGTCTATGTTGCAGGATCCATTCATTTATTTATTTTGGATTTGTGCTGCCCACTAACCCGGATGGATCCCCCGGGTGGCTGGATGGGGCCAAGTCCTGCCTCGTGGTTGGGTGCCACCCCACTCCCTCCCCGCATGGGCAAGCGGCATGTGGAGCATGCCTTTGGCGCAGGAAGGTTCCGGTGGCAGAGAAACTGCTAGAGGGCAACCTGCACAGTGGAAGCAGCTTTCGGTCGCTAGCTGGGGGCAGGCGGGGGCGCTGTGCTGTGCAAGCAGCATGCACGCTCCCCTCCCGGACTGAAAGTGTCCAAACTGCAGAGTGAGGCAGGACCACATAGAGCAGAATTCAGCTCCGAGGAACTGAATAGCCACAGATCGGGGGCAGCCTGTGTTGAAGCAGGTCCTTCTCAGACATGAGATGATCACGGCGGGCCTCACCTTGGGTGACATCACAGCCCATCACTGACATCCGGCCACTGTTAATCAGGAAGCCAACAGGGACGTTCCAGCCAACGGTTCTGTTGATGCCTGTGTGGCAGGACTTGGCCCCCTTCAGGCTGTTGATGGTCAAGGTGGAATTTGCTCTCACAACGGCCACCGCATAGTAGGAAGTGCCCACATCTGCCGAAAAGGGGAAAACCTCGTGACCACAGCAGCAGAAAGACTTTCAGCGACCAGCCAGGGCTGTGAAGGAAGCGGCTCCCGTCTTGCCAGCCAAGTCAGATTCAGTCCACATGAGTGCGTGGTCCTCGGACACCATTTTGGTGGAAAGCTGTGAATTCTGAACACTCAATTATTCCGCATGGCTGACACCCCACCTTCACCATTCCCCATCCTACGGAGGAAGTTCGACCCTTGGCAGCTGCTGCCGTGGTTGCCACAGGACCCCCCAAGCAAGAGAAGCGCCAGGCAGAGGGTCCTGGGGCAGACAGTGTGTTCTCAGCAGCTGCAGGTCAGACAGGCTGAGGGGGCAGTGCAAAGCCCCAAGGCAGACTCCTGGACTGATGGTCCCGCTTCCTAACCTGCCGGATTGCACCCCCTTTTCAGAAGTGACTGCGGCAGTCTGTATCTGCCCAGCATCCTCAGATAAGGCAGAGTGAGCTCTGAAGAGGGGATTCTTCAGGACTTGGCAATGAAGCCTTCAGGATGGAGTGTGGCCCCTGACGCAGGCAAACAGCACCCAGTACCTTTCAAGCACCCAATGGACCACTGAAAATCCACACAAACTACGACCATCACTACGCCTATGAAGCATAAGAATAAGCCCCTCGCACATCACATTGTGTTCTGTGCTTCGGCCTTACACGCTCCAGTGAAAATCTGCTGCAAAGGGCTATTTTCCCAACAGGAAGCTCGAGGTGCAGCTCCTCTCCTAGACCTGGCCAAAAGCCCCCCACAAGTGTTAGGGCGAGCCACGCCTTTGGACTGAGGCCCAGGCTCCTCGCTGTCTGCAGGAGAAGGCAAGAAGGCCCCCAAAGCATGGGGAGTGCCCAGGAGTGCTCATCCCAGCGCGGCCAAGCTTTCCGTGCAGGAGATGGAATGAGCTTGTGGTTTCCCCCACTGTAAGCGTCATTTAGCCAACAGGGAACAGGAGGAATTATGGTGGGTGGGAGCCTCCACTGGGGGCTCCCCCTGCTCACGGCAGCAGAGTGGAAGCCGGGGGGCTGCATCCATGCGACCCACTGAGCAAGCCACTGCCGCCAGCCTTGCTCCAAACGGTTTCTCTCCAAGCTGGTTGTGAGAAGAAGTGATGCATCTTTGAGACCGGCAGCCTGACCTTAACGTAACCACATGCTTGCAGGTGGCGAGGATACAGGGTAGGTTCTGCTGGTCTAGAAACACAGACGCACGGACACGGAGCGAGCCAGAAGGGGCCTCCCGGGCCATCTGGTCAGACCCCCGGCTCCAGCCACCGCTGCTCATGCAATCCCTAACGTGTGGCTGCCCCAGGTGTCCTTGAGCCCTGGGGCACCTGGCTTCCTCCTTCCCCGCGGTAGCCGGTGACCCTCAGTGGTCAGGCACGGGCACCCTCCCATTTACCTTGGCCATAGGCTTCAGCAACCACCGGCTTCAGGTGGAATTCCTTCCCAGCCTGGTAAACCATGCCGCCATCCACCGTCGCCACGTCTGCCAAACTTGCCTGTGGGCAAAACAGGGGGCGCGTTTGTCAGTGCCGCGCAAGACCACCAGAGGTGTTTCGGGCACCCACCCGGTGATGCCCAAAAGGGCCTGCAGAGAAGCTCAGTTCTTGCCTCCGGATCTTCTTGCCCCCTGGTTGCCTCTGGATATAAAGAGACGGCTCTGGCCTTCTCCAGATGTCACAGCTGGGTGACGTGGGCAGCTCCACCCACCTCGTGCAAGGGGACCCAACCGGCCACCCGCGGTGAGTGCATGCCCGGGCTCCGGCACCACCTGCTTTCCCCGTTTCTCAATAGTACCTATGAGTGACTTTTTAAAAACGCCTTCCCAAAATTGGATGCAACGTGCAGGCTTGGTGTTCCCTCCCGAGGGGCTCTCGGCTGCTGAGTGTGGGGGGCACAGATGCGGGAGCATCTGCACAAGGGCAACGTTGCAGACTGGGGGTTTCCAGGGGCCCACCAGGCATGTATGCCCCAGTTTTGAGTGTGGGCAGTTGCCACAAAAATGGCTCGCATCACTGAGTCAGTATCACTGGGAAATTTTGGAAGGACAGAAAGACAAACCTGAGTACTCTTCTGGCTGTGGAAAAAGGAGAGTCAGTTTGGCAGAGGGGAGTTACCTTGCTTGTACCACCTTGATTTTTGGGATGGGAGAGGGAGGGTGATTTGCAGGAAAATGGCCTGTGACATGGGTGCGTTTAGGGGAAGTACCTGTGAAATGCCAGAAGGACACCCAAAGGGGCTAGAGAGTTACAAGGGGAAAAAACTGCTGAAGGGTGCAACTCTGCACATGTTTAGGAATCAAAAAGGACCTGGCTGGCTGGCTGGCACATCCTGAAGGTCTTATCTGCTTTTCTGCTCATTTGGCACCGATGCCACAGAAAGCATGCTAGGACCAGGGCGGGTCCTGGGCACGGAGGACACTGGCAGAAGCAAAGGACTGGCCCATGCAGCGCTTCTCCACCAGCGCCGGGGCTGCCTCTTCCCGGGCCCCAGAACCTTCGCAAAGTCCATGTCAATGCCCCAGCTCTGGCAGAGAGACCCAGCAAAGGGAGCCGAGCACGGGCTCTGGCAAGGAAGCCTGGAAAATCCGTCAGGACACAGCATGAGACGAGCTGACAGTCACCGATGGACCTGCCTCCCAGCCCCACCTTCCCCAGCCTGGGTCCGGGCAAGCCGGGGGGGGGGGGCGCGGTGCTTCCAGTGCTGGACTGGGGAGCCGGGGGGGCCAGCTCTAGCCCCTCTCGACCAGGCAGCCTCCGGGGAACATGGGCCAGCCACTCGCTCTCCGCCCACCCCACCCCGCGAGCGGTTGCAGGCTAAGCAGTACGGAGGAGGGCCACGTGAGGTGTGATGAGGCACAAAGCCACGCAGCGAACAGTCTCACTGGAGAGAAACGCACCAGCCATTCGAGACCCTCCGCATCCTGAATCTTGAGGAGGATTCAGGTCTGGTCTGTTGGGGGAGGCATTTTCATGTCAGGCATCTTCTGAACCTGCACTGGGAACCCGCCTGCTCCAGCTTGGCAGGCAAGGTGGACCTGCGGCCTGCGGGAGTGGCCCGGAGGGCATCAGGGCTTGGCAGGGCTGCCGGAGGCTCCCAGGAGCCATCAGGTTCGGCAGGCCTTTGGCCGGGGTGCAGGCCAAGCCACCCAGCCCTCCATCCCTGCAGGGACTGGGCTGGGGCAGGCCTAAATCCCAGCGACACGAGATTTGCACACGGGGGGGGGAGCAGTGAGGGCCTGCAGCTCGGTGGCAGAGCACCTGCGTGGAGGCGGGCCAGGCTTGGGCTCCAGGAGGGCCAGCAAAGAGCCCCGCACCCGCCGTGGGGCCTGCCAGGCCTCCTCTCGTGCACTGGGCCTGCTGAGGTTGGCTGAGCAGCAAGGGAAGGCACCGCTGGGACAACGTGCCCCTTGCTGCCCCCCACCCTTCGCTTGGGAGTTTGGCGGAGAAGTCAGGCCAGGCTCCTCGTCACGGGTTAAATCCAGGTGGGTGGGCACAGTCGGAAGCACAGAAGCAGAGCGAGCCCGAAGGGGCCTCCCGGCCATCTAGCCTGACCCCCACGCCAGCCGCCTCCGCTGACGCCAGTTGCCTCAGCCGAGCCATGCGCTGTGTTGGCATCGAGCAGCCATCCTTGCAGGCTCGCTGGTGAGTTGGCAGACCTACCGGGGCTACTTTGGAGTAGCCAGCCCCTCGCCCAGCCAGCCCCTCTTCTCCCTGCCTGTCCAAGCCCTCCCAGCTCAACTGTCCACTCAAGGGGGGCCCCTTTCCACCGCCTTTCCCACGCAAGCAACGGAATCCCGCCAGCAAAAGCGAGCAGGAAGGGGCAGGAGAGCCTGCAGGAGTCACAGTACTGAGGTCCCGCGGTGGCTGCCCCGGCCCCTCCGAGTATCCCACAGACCTGGCCAGCTGGCACGAAGCGGGAGCAGGGTGGCCACGTGGTAAAGGCTGGCCAGGGTGACTGGAGCCTCCACGCGGCCTGGGATTAGATATCCCTCTCCGGAGCCCGGCCTGCAGCCTCCCGGTAGCCCAGCCTCTCAGGGACGCACGGGGCCACCTGGATTCAAATGTGCCGGTCAGCACTCATGGCGGGACGGTCAACCCAACAGGCACCTGTCCTCGCAGCCTGGTCAGCCGGGAAATAAAAGGGGACTCGGCCGCGCTCCAGGGGTCAATGGCCACACTGCTGTGGTGGAACTTACTCGTGAGAATACAAGTGCTCCAGCCCTGCTCCCTCGCTCTGGCCACGCTTCGTTGGCCTGAGCACGCCAAGAGCCAGTGCCACCGCAGGAGCCAGCGGCTCTTTCCTGGGTCAACCATGGCGGGGGGGGGAGGCCATGGCGCCTTAGCCAGGCCCCACAGGAAGGTCAGAGAGACCACCTCCTTGGGGCTGCCCCTTGCGCACCCTCCCTCCCACCAGGAGCAGCCTGCTGTCGGGGGGCTGGCTGCCCTGCGCCGAGCTGGAGGCACAGCCCAGCCCCTCCGCCCCACAGCGATCCGCTCCTGCTCCTGCCCAGTTCTGGGGCTCAGGACTGGCCTGAGCCCTGAGATCCCCCACCGGTCGCTTCGCTGCCTCTGCTTGTGTCCCTCCCGCTGGCCCTCAGGCGGCTCGCGGGATCCTCCCCCCTCCACCCCAAGCCCATGGCCGGCCGCTCTGCGAGACAGGCTGGGCTGCCGGGGCTCAAATGCAGAGTCCGGGGAGCAGCTTCTGCCTTGCCGCTGCTCTGGGCAGGCCTGGACGGGTGCACAGCCTGGCAGGGCAAGCAGTTTGCCTGAGAGGTGAGTGCTCAGGACGCGGAGGGCCTGCTGGGCTTGAGCCCCCGGCACGCGTGCCAGCACAGCCGGCAAGAGGCACCTGCGAGTCAGCCGGCCGCGCAGGAGAAGGGCTCTTTGCCCCGGACGCCTCCTGCTCCCCCTGCCAGCTGCACTGCACTTTGCCCTCGCTATCAGGAGGAGACACGGCCGTCAGGCACCAGGCCTGCTGAGCCCCCCCCACCCCGAAGTGCCTCCCTCCGCTCAGCCCCGCCTGAGTCTCACAAGGCAGAGTCCACGCCGGGGGCCGAGGTGGCCACGCCGAGGCGACGGAGACAGTGCGGGAAGGAGAACGCGCCCATGAGGCTGAGCGGGTGGCGGGCAGGCAAAGCACTTCTGGGCTCCGCGTGAAGAGGGGCCCCTGCCATGCCCAAGGACTGAGGGCTGCGAGGGGAATGGATGCGGCGGACTAGCCGGGTCCAGCCAGGCCTGGTGCTGGCTGCAGCAAGTGCATGCTTCCTCAGTCCTGCCCTCCGAAGCAGCCGTGCTTTTCCTGACCGGCCCTGGACACAAATGCTCTGGCCTTTCTCCCGCACTCCGGGCAGCCCTGATTCCAGAACTGGAAGGCAGAGAGCGTACAGGACGGCAGCTGTGCCACGTGCTGCGCCCCAGTTCTGCCTTCCCCACTTGGGGGGTGCAGTGAGAGGAGGACTCCACTGGAAGCGGCAGTGTCCCCTCCTCGGTCTCACCTGGGTGTCCCCTCTGCTTGCCTGCCTGTGGTTTTGGCATCGCTTCCCCCGTTCTTATTTTTTGTTAGCTACCTTGAATGTTGCTGCATTTCAAAATGGTACCCAGGGCCCTGCAGCTGTCGCACACGGCAGTAGGCAGCACATGGACCGCTCCCACCGGGCAAGAGGACGGTGCCTGCAGAGCCGCCTGCGGCGGCACATGGGCCAGGAGGCCAACCCATGCAACAGCGCGCCTTCTGCAGCAACTCACTTTTCGAGTGGTGCAAGGCCTGGTTCGCCCGGGTCCTAAGGAAGATCCGATGCCACCCTCAAAGGCCCGCTGTGACGACTTTGCCAGGCATTTCAGGGAGAAAATC